CTTAGGTGGAGAGCAAATGTTTTAAGAATGATGAGGACAATGAATGTACAAATGTGCTTTACACAATTGATGTATGTATGGATTGTGATAAGAGTTATATGAGCCCCTAATAAAATGATTAAAAATAAATTAATTAATTAAAAAAGAAAATGATGATGGTAACAAATGTACAAATGTGCTTGACACAATGGCTGCATGTATGTATTGTGAAAAGAGCTGTGAGTCCCCAATAAAATGATTTTTTTCAAATGAAAGGGAAAAAAAAAATAACCTGAAATAAAGTTCACCTCAGATTACCAGTGCTCGAGTCCTCTCAGAACCCATTACATGAGCTTCTGTAACTCATGCTTTCACATATCTGTTGATTCCCAAACCCCCTCCTATGGGCCAGTAGTCAAATCTAAGTGTGTCCTCTCTGCTCCTCCCAAGTCACAGCCTCTCACTGTTCTCATCTCCTGTCCCTCCCAGGTAAAATGTCCAGTGACCGCGCACTGAGGAAGCAGCAGCAGTTAAACAACCTTATTTATATGGTGACAAAGCAAGCCAGGCCTGGTGACAGAATTGTGGATTTCTGCAGTGGTGGGGTATTATAGCTCTCCTTTTGTCCCTTTTAGCCCATTTCCAAGGTGATGTAGTTTATACTGTATTACAACCAAGGGCGTGTTTTATTTGGTGGGACTGTTGTCTCAGAATGAACAAAACCCATAGGGAGTCGAGTTCACCTCGGCCTCTTTCTGCCTTTTTCAGGGCCACGTTGGAATTGTGCTTGCTCACATGTTGCCATCATGCCAGGTAAGCTCTGAATAATCGATAAAAGGAAATGTTGGAAAAATGACATACTTTACATAGCCAACGCTGGCTTATCCTCTGCTCTTTGAGTTTATAATTACCCACCCAGGTCAAATATGTGGTTCAGGAATTTTTTTTTCCTTTGAAGTATACTTCTGATATCCAAAATCATAAGGGGAAAACAGTGTGAACCAACTACAGTTTTTAATTCTTAAGTGGATTATATTTAAAAATAGCTCTTTATGAAAACTTTTATTGTGAATTGGGTGCAGGTTTATGGAGCAGCTCTTAAGTTTCACAGTCATCCAATCCGTACATATTGTTTCATTTCATTGATTCAGTCTCCTCAGCACACCGTCCTTTGTCCCACTTCCTCCCCGTGTTTCCTGTTTCCATTTCTCCTTCTTTCCGATGCTTCCCTGGTAAGTGCTGCCCTTTAGACGCCAGATGGTGGGTTCTTCTAAGGTCTGCCTGCCTCGCTGATGTTACTGTCCCCCTTACAGACCTGCATATTGTTTGGTGGAAATTTGAACCACCAATAGCTTTTACGTTGTTAAATAGAATAATGATGATGAAAATAGTTTTATTTTCACAACAGTTTGACAATGGACATACTGGCTGCTCATGCTTTCCAAGCTTTTTTTTTAGTTTACTGATTTGTATTCATTACATCGAAATTGTAGCAACAAGTAAACTTTTTATAAAGAAAAAATAACCCACAAACTATGCTGATCTGTCAAATGCTTTCCTCTGCATATTCTCCCTAAGTCGTTGTTCATGTGGTTGCGTGTATATTGCTGCAAATTTTAAACATATAAATATAAGTTTAGTCTATTATGTCCATTCAATATTGAATTGAAAATGTTTTCCATAGATAGTGCTTTTAGAAACATGTTTTAGTGACTTCTTTTTGAAGAAATTTAACAACATTTTTTTTCAGTCATTTCAATAGTTTGTTAGAAGTAGGTGTTATTTTTAGTCTTCTGCCCTTTAAATCAGTTTTTCACAATGTCTGTCTTTTTGCATACAGTCTGAAATTTGGGGTCATTTTAAAAATACAAATTTCAACTCTGGCTTTGTTTTCTTCCTTGTTTGGTGTGGGAGCTATCCGCAAGGTAGGAACTAATTACAT